AGCCTTGCCTGGACGGCACTTCCAAGGGACAGGTATACATTTTTTAATAAAAGTCTGTTTTGGAATACATTTAACTCTTTCTTGAAGGTGTTAACCACATCATGTGTTTCAAGCATTCTGCTTGTAGTGCTTTGGACTGGAGAGGCTTTTCTTCTGGCTTCTCTCTCCTTGGCTTTCTTTTCCTCTCTTTCCTCCTCTCAGCTTCTCTTGACTTCTTTTTTAAATTGTTGCAGTTTACAGGTAAGAATATAGAAGCACCAAGGATTTGGATATTCTTTTTATATGAAGATTTCTTAACCACTGCTAGACAACTGTTAACTCTGTTTACTAAAAATTCACAAGTTAGGCAGTGGGAGGAGAAAGAGCTCAGTATTTTTTATTTTGTCCTTCTGACAGGATTTTTTTTGTGGCTTAGGCAGTTTCCTTTAGTGTGATAAGGAGTAGACTAAGCAGAAGACGTTGGGAAATGGGGAAGTTTAGACAAACCACTGACATGGATTTAAACATCTTAAATTTCTGCATGGTTACATGTTAACCTAAAGTAAAACCAGGTACCTGAATAAATACTTTGCTTATTAATACACAGTAACTCAAATAGTACTTTGTTACACCAAAGACATCAGCAAGTGATTCAAGGGAACCAGTAAACTTCAGGTTTTTATATTGACTAACACAAAGTCTTAGAATAAATGTAATATTTGAAAGATAATTCAGGAAGAATTTCAAACGCCAGTAAGACTCAAATAGTACTAAGTCATCCTAACCCTTTTGAATTCTCCCTGCATTATATCAAAGTCTCCTTATAATCTAGTGTTTGTAATAAAAACAGCGTTGTGAGTACTGGTCAGCATTTGCACGAATCAGATTAAATACATAAGACTTCATGGCATTGCAGTTGTTTTTGTTCATAAGTGAAGACTTGGATTTGTAAAGAATTTTACAGAAAAGAGAGCAGAAAATACCTTCAAGGACCAGGAAGTTAGTCTACCTCAGTCCTGTTTGTTCTAAGAAAAAAATTGGTTCGGTCAAGCATGTACCCAGTCTGCACAAACTGTTGATTTATTAAAGCAGTTAGAATATTCTCAGTAGTTAATTTACTTTGTTTGATTCCAGGCAAGTTGTGGCATGGCACAGACCCTACTGCGTAGACCTTGAGGAGAGTACCTTTTCCCATCTTCGTTCTTTTCTTGAGCACTACTGTGACAAAATTAACAGTGAAATTCCCCCTATTCCTTTTCCTTCATCAAGGTATTTACAGCATATGCACATTACAGATTTTTATAATTTTTTTTTTTTTTCTTTACAGCAGTGGTGTGTGGCTTAGTCCTCATTAGTCTTTTCTTTAAAAAGCATTTCTGGTTTATTTGCTTGTTCAGGTGCCATTTGTATAACACAGGAGCTTTTCAGTACCTCAAATGTATCTTTTGTCTGGAATTAATTTTAATTATGTACTGAATTAATTATTTCCTTAAGAGCTGTCCTTGAAAATACATTTCTCTATATAGCTGAAATGCATTTACTATTTCTGTACATAATTTCTGCTTTGCTAGTCTTTCATCCTGTGAACAGTTTGAGTCAATGCTTTACTGAGTCTAATCTGCTGATGAGCTTAGGCAAAAAACACTCTTCAAGTGATAATCCGTCAATCCATACATGCACTTATTGATTAACATCATGTATGATGCTCAAACCAGGAGATATATAGTTGCCATTGCATTTTGAGTTAGGATCAGTGTTTTGATAAAACTCTGCTTCTGTCTAAGGAATTTGAATATTTTTCTGCAAGTGTTTCTACCATGTGAGGGTAGACTATTTCCTTCTTTCAGTCCAAGGTCTCTGATCACCTCTGAAGAACTAGAAATCATTCAGAATGCATGAAAGACTTTTTTTTAAAGGTCATGTATGACTCTTGTTCAGGTTATATCAAGTAGCATAACTGTTTTCCATCTGAATGAACAAAATGGAGGAAGGCAGTTCAATTTTTTCAGGAACTATTTGGCTATGAAACTTTGTAATGAGGAATAGTATTACAGTTACAGAAGTTTGCTTCTGATACAGACAGAGGTTAGTAGTGGACAATTTGGATGTTTCATGACCAGTTCCGTCTGGGTTGGTGGCTTTTTTTGTGGATTTGTATGTTGTTTGATATGGTGTTTTTTTCCAAGATAAAATATTCTGTTAGTCTTGATAATGCAGACTGCTTCTCATAAACATAAGATTCATACACATGAAATGCCACTTAGGTTTGAAATACATGTGCAAGAAACACTTTCTTTGCTTTGGATTTGGGAAGCCTGTATGCATTTCCACATATCTCTTTTCTGGAAGGCGTTCCAGAAGATGAAATGCAATAAAACTAAGCCTGTCTTCATAGTGCTATGTTGACTAAAACAGCCACTTGACAAAGCATCAGTAATGAATATTACAACTTCCAGATTTGAGTCTTTTCACCAAAGGTGACATTTTAAATGTACTCCTATAAAATATGAAAGCATGAGTGTTTTTTTATTAGAACAACCTATAGATATCAAGGATCCTCATGAATTTTTTTTCCTGGCTACAAAGTTTTTCAAAAATTTTCTTTAAGAAGAATAGAATTCAATATCCTGACTTTTCATTTTTAATCCTATTGTTGTACTCCTAAATCTTCTGACAGAAGATTTTATTTATTACATTTTAAAAGGGTGGGGTTTTTTCCTTTGTGAGGAATATATTTGTGTGTGTATTTTGGGATGATTTTACCTCCTAATTTGTGGGACTGGTTTTCTGAACTAAATGCCTCTTGGAACCATTGTCCACAAAGACAATTTATTCTATCTTTGGTATTTGTTCTTTTAAGCATGTTCGCAGTAAGTTTTCAGAGGAGTTTTTTTAAAGTCCTGCTTGTAACTTGCTTATCTTTCTGGTATGCAAATCAAATGGGCATTAAAAGTTTAAATCACAAGTAAGTGAAGGGGACTAAGGCTAATAACAGGAGAGATTAACAGGAATGCATTTCTATTTACAGAGAACATCACAATTTTCTTAAGTTGTGTTTGAAGCTACTTTCAAATCATCTTGCACTTGCACTGGCTGGGGGTGTAGCTACCAGCATTCTTGGCCGACAAGCTGGTCCTCTTCGAAACTTGTTATTTAGACTGATGGACTCTTCTGTCCCGGATGAAATTCAGGAAGTAAGTAATTCTTTTTGTTTACATGTGAAAATTCTACTCCTTTCTTTCTTTGACTGTGTAATTAGGGATTTATCTGACTTTCTTCTGAACTTGTCACTCTGTTGAACAGGATTCTGATTTGGCAGTTTTACTCACTAAAGTTAAAAAAATTAATCACTACCACTTTTTTATGAGCAGAAAACAGAGGTGAATGTTTTTGTGAGAATCTTAAAAAGCTGCTTTTATTTTGCGATGTTTTAATCATCACTGCTTGTTATAATGAGCCTAAAATGCTAATGTTGTGGATGGAGTAACTAACTTAAGTAACTTCTCCTAGGACGACACTTTTGCAGGAAAGAGGAAATTACAAAGAATTTTTTATTGGTTTGACAATACGTTGTTCTCACTTCATTCCTTCAAGGTAGCACATACTTTTGCATCACACAATATAAAATTGATGTGCTATTGTGGGATAGAATTCTGATGCTAAATGAAACTAAGTGGATGTTTTGGATATATTGTGTGTGATGTACCATATTTTTTAAAGATACAGCTGAGTTGAGGCTCTCCCCCACAACCTCCCTCAACTGAAAAAGTATCTTCTTCTACTCCAATTTTAGGTTGTAATTGAGACTCTCTCAGTGGGAGCAACTATGCTACTTCCTCCATTGCGAGAGAGAATGGAATTGCTACATTCTCTTCTACCCCAAGGTCCTGATAGATGGGAAAGTTTATCAAAAGGGCAGGTAAGGTCACGTAAAAATATGCCATGCTGTGAAAGAAGCTGTGTATTTTTATTTTTCTAGAACATTTTGAATGAGGTGAGCCTCATTTGCAGAGTACAAGCACGTTATTGGTGAGGTGCAGTGCAAAGCCCAGCTTAACAAAATCTGTAGGTAGCCTGACTAAATCAGAATCTAGTGAGGCAGGGAGCAGTACGTGTGTTCTCAAGTGAAGGCTGACTACGCAGAGGTTAGGAATTGCTGTGTTAGTGTATCTAGACAAATTTGAAGAGTAGATATTTGTGAATACTAGCCTGAATTAACAAGTCTAGGTAACAGGAAGTCAACTCTTTTCAGGGAAGAATACTTGTGCAATGCTTTTCCTACCTATATTTCACCCTACTTTGCAGAGATTAATAGGATGTTCCTTTTTTTTTTCTTTTTCTTCCTTGAATGTGAAGAACAGGAATTAATGCAGGTTAGGAGATTTGCCCAGTATCCTACAAATAGAAGGAAAAAAATTCAAGGAACATCTGTTCCTCAACTTGAGGGCAGCAGAAACTGAAAGTTCCGCAGTAGTCTCAGATGAAAAAAATAGGAAAAACTAATACTCAGTTGTGTACTCATAGCATCCTGGTCAAATCTTTTATTTTATACACTGTTGAGTAGACTGTTTTACATTGATACTTGAAATGATGAAGTATCATCTTCCTGGTGCTAATTTTCTAAAGATTCTGAATGTTAGTACCAGTAAAAACTCAAACCCCCAGCAATTACTGGAGTAGAAGAAGTTTAGAATTTTAAGGATTCATAACAGCAACAGTGGGGAGCAGTACTGAACTTTAAAGTCATTAGTTTGCATCTGCAACCTCCCTTGGTCTAATGTATACTTGTCCTGCTTTTCACCCTTTTCCTTTTTCCTATGTATAGATTAGAATAATTGCCCCAACCCCCAAATTATCAGGTAACTAGAACAAGCTGGAGAAAGCGTTTAGTCCATTGTCTAATACCTTTGTTTTGTAATCTCAGATTTTTACTAGGTGTGATTATGTAATTTGTTATATTTGTTTCTTCTCTTAATACTACAAATCTACAGGAGAAAGTAGTTGGATCTTTATGGTAAAGTCCTGCAGCTTAGTTTTATGACTCAGAATGTTTTTCTTGCGTAACTATGCCTGATGCTTTTTTCTTCTTAGCTCAGTATTTTATTCTGATTAACAAAGAATGTTTCTTCTGTTTAAACATTTTTCTTTAGAGAATGCAATTGGATATTATTCTGACAAGTTTGCAGGATCACACCCATGTAGCTTCCCTGCTTGGCTATAGCTCACCATCTGATGCCACAGAAACTTCTTCATTATGTATCAGCTATGGAAATCTGGCTGATCAAACATACGCTGTCCAGAGCAGTCATCCGGATACTCATCTAGCTGAAATCTTAATGAAGACTCTTCTAAGAAATTTGGGGTTTTATACAGTATGTATAGGCCTTGTATTTATTTATTTGTTTAAATGGTAATGAATTTTGAAGACTTTGAATGGTTAAAACTTTTTTCCTACTTTCAGAAAATTGTGCTTTTTATTTCTCTAAAGTAGCAGGGCTATAGGTATTTGCCCTGAAGTGGACTAAAATCAGTTAAATCATCTCTAAGGTTCTAATGTTATTGCTCTTAATTTTGCTTCAAACTTTTTTTTAAGACAGAACCTAACACGTCAGGTAAGTAGATTGTAGGGAGCTCTTTTTTTGTCAGAGAAAGATAACATGAGTGTTTAACTTAACTGGGATGATTAGCTTCTAATAGTGCAGGAAGCACAGGTCAGCCATCTTATTATATATAGTGTGTCAAATGGATTGTTGTCCTTGGAAAGTTTGGGGGAGTCTAAGAGCAAGTAACTGACTCACCTTTTTATTCAGCTAGCCAGTTAAATAAAACAGTGAAAAGGAAACAGAGAGTTTTACTTCTTTGGCACAGTATCCCTAGCTCCGGAGGGTGAGGGTTGATATTTTTTGTTCCTTTCTCTAGACCTTCATCAGTCATCTAGATTGAGCTATCTGCTTTCAATATCCTGCTTGAAAGTAACCCATTTTTTTCAGTAGGATTTGGAATGAAGTCAAGCAGCTATCTACCTTCATCTCCTTGTATGGCCATCCTAGATAATGCAAAGAAGGATTCTAATCTGGAACAATTTATCTGTCAGCCCACACTAAATTCTAAAAGGGTTATTACTTATTTTATCGTGATGTAGGGGCCAGGGTGGGGAGTGGATTCTTTCATGGAGTTATCCTTGGGGAGTTGAATGAAAAATACTTCTGCATCTGAAAATACCCTTTCTAGAATAGAAATGTTTACTTGATGGCTATCACAATCACTACTGTGACATTCTAAATGACGGTAATTTCAAGTTTAGTTATGCCATGATCCACATTATCTGATTTCTTTAATAATTGCAGATGCACATGGCAAACGTTAAAAAGCTTCTTTTTAAGATGATAGTAAAGTATTACAGCATTTGAAGGCAGAGTGAATTGTTCTTTTTTTCTCCCTCTTCATCATAATAGGATCAAGCCTTTGGAGAACTGGAAAAAAACAGTGATAAATTTTTACTGGGTACATCATCGTCAGAAAACAGTCAACCTGCTCATCTTCATGAGCTTTTATGTTCACTGCAGAAACAATTGCTGGCTTATTGCCACATCAACAGTGTTAGTGAGGTGTGTGTCCTTATTTTTGTTGTTCAGGGGAGAAGTAATTAATTCAGTATACATAAGCACCAGAAGGTTGTAAGGTTCTTGTTGAAAACCTTCTGAGTACTTGAAAGCTAAACTAATTTAAATAATTAACCCCTTAAGTACATTTATAGAATTATTGTTATTATTCTTGTTTGTTTCCTTCTAGAATTCCAGCAGTGTGGCACTGCTGCACAAGCACCTTCAGCTTTTATTGCCTCATGCAACAGATATCTATTCCCGCTCTGCAACACTGCTTAAGGAAAGCTCGTGGAATGGTAGTGTTGGGGAAAAACTGAGAGGTAAATGTTCATAGAAGATTCAGTAATGGTGGCTCTGTAAGCTTAGGGTAGTTCTTGTTTGTTTTGATTTCAATAATAAAATACATTATTTTCCCTATATCTGCATAAAGTAGTGATCCCAAGCCTTCCCCAAAGGAGTTCATAGAACATCTACCCAAGGACAGCATCTGGTTCATGCTTTTGATAGAACGTTTTGCATAGAGGAAAAATAGAGAATGGAGAAGATATTGCCTCTGTGTGTTATTGCTCCAGTTACGTTAGATTTCTCCTTTTAAAAGTACATTTTTTTTGAGATTATTGAAAAGCTTGGAACTAAAATGGGTTAATAATTATTCAAAAGAAACCCAAATTCAACATGTACAGTTGAGACATTTTGAGACAGCTGAGGTATTTTTATGCCTTTCTTTCTGACTTGTTAAATTCTGCATAGAATAGAATTATATAACTATCATTCAGAATACTTTTTTTCCCTGTGTAGGCGTAATTTATGTATCGGCTGCTGGGAGCATGCTCTCTCAGATTGTCAACTCATTATTGTTACTGCCAGTGTCAGTAGCTCGGCCTTTGTTGAGTTACCTGCTAGATCTGCTGCCACCTTTAGATCGTCTTAACAGACTGTTACCTGCAGCAGCCCTTTTAGAAGATCAAGAATTACAGTGGCCACTTCATGGTAAGTACAGACTTTTCATCTGAGAAGTAAAAAATGCCATGTCAGCATTTTGTAGTGGAAGTTCAACTTTCCTTTTTAAGATGGCTTCTTTTTTAAGCTAAGTCACTTGTTCCATCTTCTTTTCAGATTCTTAAATGTATTGACATCTGTTGCTATGAAATATTTTCAGCTGCAGACAGACTTTTGTTCTGTCAACTCAGAATGTCTCTTGAGTGGGAATCCAAGAGCAATATAGGAAATATATCTTGAACTAAAAATACTAAATTTGTAATGCATGAAAATAGCAATATTGCCTTGTAAAAGAAACACTGATTTTCAAGTCAGAATATCTTATGGTGGAAAGGAGCTATAAGGATCGTAGAGGCCAACTCCCTTCTTGCAGCTTCTCCTGACGCAGCTAATAGATAATTTTGTCATGATCTATTTACTTTCATGTCCATGTTTTGTTTTTGCTTTCAGTTTCACAGTGTAAGAGTTCTAACTTAACATAATAAATTACTTGCTAACTTTCTGAACATGTGCCACCAGATATTTCTTGTGTCGGTGGAATAGAAATATAAAACCAGAGGTAAAGCAACTGAAATTTGGGATAGGAGATGCTATACTTATTTGCCATTCAGTGAATTTTTCCCTAATATTTTTGGCAAGATTTTTTGTTTCCAGTTGTATCATATATCTGTGCATTTTTGTCAGAATGCAAAGAAATCTGTATGGGACAAAATAGGTACTTGGGCAGAGTTTAAAAGGGCCTTTACTTTACATACTGTTGAGTATGAACAGTTGTACCATGAATGTTGCTGGCCTCTGCTACTGCTCAAGTTATAATGTTAAGCCATCTTTCTGTCCTAACTGCTCTTTCTTCAGCTTACACGTTGTTGACCGAGGGACAAATCTGCTACTAACTGGGAAATATTAACAAGACTTACTTTGACTGATTTTGGAAGTGTTGTTAATGTCTAGGCAATAGTGACTAATTTCACAATTCATTGCTAATACTTTTAGGTGGACCTGAATTAATTGATCCTGCTGGAGTGCCCTTACCACAGCCTGCCCAGTCTTGGGTATGGCTTGTTGATCTGGAGAGAACTGTAGCTTTGCTTATTGGGCGGTGTCTTGGTGGCATGCTTCAGGGACCTCCAGTGTCCCCTGAGGAACAAGATACAGCTTATTGGTTGAAAACTCCACTTTTCAGTGATGGGGTGGAGATGGATATTCCTCATTTAGGTAAGCTGTTAAATGAAAGCCTCTAGTTATTGTTGTAAATATTTGTGTTCGGTTTGGAAATTTTTGATGAAGTTTGAGTAAGTCTGTGTAATTTGGGTTTGCCTTTCAACATTCTTCTCTGTTTACATAGTAATAAAAAAAATTGGAAAACTGCTATTTAAGTATATGCTGTAGTTTACAAAGGGTCTTGGAAATTCAAATAATCCTCAAAATTTGCAGAGTTTCATTTCTTGGGTATTTCCATTCTGTTAGATAAATGCATGAGCTCCTTGTTAGAAGTGGCCCTATCTGGAAATGAGGAACAGAAGCCATTTGATTATAAACTGAGACCTGAGATTACAGTCTATGTTGATTTGGCCTTGGGTTGTACGAAAGAACCAGCAAGGAGCCTCTGGATCAGTATGCAAGACTACGCTGTTAGTAAAGGTAAGCTGTTGAAAATATGGGTCTGTGTGTGTTAAAAGCATGTTTCACTCTTCAACTATATGCCTAGCAGAATCTTGTATTTTCTTTGGTAATGCCTTTTAATTCTGCGACATGGTAAACTTAATTTATTGTCATGTTCCGCAATCTTTCTTTTGCTTTTTCTGTTACTTATTTTTTTTTAATGTAGTTTTCAGTGCCTGGCAAGAATGTAGTACAATGTTCTTTTTCCCTCCAAACTAGAAAAAAAGACACTCAGTTGTTGGTGTTTCTGTTTTCCTAGTAGAGGAGGGTGAAACGTGGAGTTAAAAAGCAAAATTGATAGGGAGGAGAAGGGGAAAGGCATAGTGACTTGAAAAATATGTTAGGAATGGGACAAAGAGGTATGTCTTCTTTTTCAAGTGTCAGGGAAGCTAGCTTTAGACTATTAATGGTTCTTCATGCTTGTTTCCTAAAACCTGGGTTCCTGCTCAATTCCCAGGTCTCTTTTTCTAATAAGATCTGCTAAGCATTGGGGTTGTACTATAATTGCTGGATCCAGAGATAATTTTCTGTAGCTCTGGCCATGCTGTGCCAGTTCAAGAAGACAGCAAATGGTCCTGTTGAGAGCAACACAGAATTTGTCCACAGAAGCAGGATGCAGGAAGTCTCAAATATGGTGTGTTTCTAAATGTGTTCCATGTAAATTGGTGTCTTAGTAAAGAGAAGAGCTCCAGTTTGGTATTTTTGCTTGAAAGAGAGGTTGCACTCTTAAGTGCAGCTCTTTGAATCTCTCGTGGTAATTACAGTCAACCCTTGGCTGACTCTTAAGTACCTTGAGCAGCCCAAAACACGTTTGTCTGAAGCTGTATATTTCTGAGTTATTGATGCTAAACTTATTTCTTAGGTATTAAAACTACTTGTAAATTGAAAGATTGAAATGGGTGAAGATTTTTTTTATTAGACTATTGAAAATAATTTTGTTTGTTGGAAACAGTAGCCAGTTTTAATGAATTGTTTCTAATTTCAGATTGGGATACTGCAACTTTAAGTAATGAATCACTCCTAGATACTGTGTCAAGATTTGTTCTTGCAGCTCTTCTAAAACATACCAGCTTACTTAGTCAAGCTTGTGGTGAGAGCAGGCAAGTAACTCAAAGCTGCTTTTAAAAATTCAATTTTTAGAAGTCCAACTTCAATTCTTAAGAGAAAATTTTGTGTATTTTTTCTTCTTTTTTCTGGTTTGGGTCTCTTTTCTGTAGATACCAGCCTGGCAAAGCTTTGGCAGAAGTATACCGTTGTGTATATAAAGTTCGGAGTCGCTTGCTTGCCTGCAAGAACATGGAACTTATTCAGACTAGATCATCCTCAAGAGACAGATGGGTATGACTGTAAACCTCTTTGCAGTTCTTCACACTTTACATAATATTTTCTTAATACATAGTAATGTTAGTTTCACATGTTGCTGGTATTTTTGTTCTATCTTGTTCAAGAACTTTGACAATTTTTCCAATGAAAGTGGACAATGCATAATTCATTAGTCTGTTGTATGTTGTGGTATTAAGTCAGTTGAAGGAAATGATTGACAGTATTAGACTTGAGCACAGCCTGAAGCCTAGTTTTACCTGTAAACATAGCATGTTGTACCATAGAAGCCTACAGCTTAGATGCCAATTGACTTAGCTGTGTTGACCAGGCCACAGCTTAGTCTGGCTGCCATTCCTGAACCCAGCTGAAATATCTGGGCCTCTAATCTCTGTCCCTGTCTGCACCCCTCTCTTACTGTTCCCTGTCTTACCCCTTTTTCCTTCCGCCACGGTCAGTTTCTCCTTTCAGGCCTAATGTTACCTTAAGGCTGCTTGTCCTGGAGAGCTCTGCATGAATGTTCAATATGATGGGACTGGGCCTGAAACTAGCAATGATGGCAACTTCTGAATAATTTTATTAAACCATGTCAGAATTGGTAATCGAAGTAGTCATTGAATTACTCAGCGCTGGGGACTGTTAGACATTATAAAGTTGTCCTTAAAGTAGGATTATGGTTTCTCTGATAGGATTTTTAGTTGTTGTTTACAATCTACAGTTGGGATATTTTTAAATAAGGAAGTTCTCATGTGACATTAGGTTTCTGAGGCTTTTTAACCATGTTGTAAAGCACTGACATGATGCTTTTAAAAATTCTGTAGGTCTGTATCTTCCTATCAATTAATATTAAGGGGATGTGTGTCTTTATGCCTTTTTTTCCTCATGATAGAGGTCTAACATGCAAGATACTCAGCACTTCTGAAAGCATTGGGTGTAGTGTGTGTACACAGGACAAGTAATCATGCGTTAAGCTTGGTTATTTTCTGGCTTACCAAGCATACACAGAATGGCCAGTTTGTTCACGTGTCTTTCTGCATGTTGATGTTGTAGCTGTTGCGTATGCTCATGGTCAGATACCGTGTACTGTGCCTGTACACTATGCTGTGTTACACCTGGAAATCCCCAAGCTTATTGTGCAGATGTAATATAGCAAATGTAAATGTATGGAGTAGATTTGTTGCTTCAGGGAGATCTCAGATTTAATACTGCTGTGGAAAAAATAGCTGGTTTGCATTTGCATAGTATACACAGGCTTAATAGTAGCAAGACAAGAGCAAATAATATGCACCAGAAAAACAGTGACCATGATCTGCTGCTATCAAGACTTTCCGTTTTTTTTGAAAGGAAACCTGCAAGAAGAAGACATGTGGATTATGCTGGTGGGATGTGTGTCCTCCAAGATTTGTAGGATTAATTAACTTCTAAAGTATTCCAAAACCTCTAGTGTAACTGAATTCTTTATATTTGAAAGCTTTGCCTTTTTCAGATTATCTAAAGCTGTTTCCTGCCTTGGAAAATTGTCTGTTAGATAATAAATATTTTGCTGATCAGCACTTACATGCTCGTATTTTATGAGACAACAGCATGTGGTTTGATGCTGAAGTGTCATTTTGGCAACAGAGTCTAAGTAACCATCATATAGAGATGCTTTTCTGCAAATAATCTGAGTAACAGTTCCTAAGGGAAAATCAGGTTTTCCAACTTACATATTAAAGCCTTGGATGTAAGCAACTGCTGTTTATTTCACACAATATCAAAAGTAGCTTACTGATGGGAAAAAAACTTATTAAATGACTATGTCCTTATATGTTCATCTTTAATTTTGGTCAGAATTAATTACACTGTATATAGATGTGTTTGGTTTTTTTTTAAATCAAGGTGTTAGATAACCAAGAATCTGCTGATATTGATACTCAAGAACATTCTTTTACTCGTACAATTGATGAAGAAGCGGAAATGGAGGAGCAGGCAGAACGTGACAGAGAAGAAGGACACCCAGAACAAGAAGATGAAGAGGAGGAAAGAGAACATGAAGTTATGACAGCTGGTAGTAAGTACTAGTTATATGTGACAATGATGTGATGCCCTTTGGGAGGACAATCTATTTTTCCTCTGGGGTGAAAGATTATGGAAGATCTGTCTGCATAAAAATTATTGGAATTTACTTTTATAAAATGGGGTATTGCTTTTATTGGGTCAGAAAATTCTTTCAATACAAGGGAGTGTGAATACTAGGCAAGTAGGACATCTGACATATACGACTTTTCTTATATGCACTGTCTACAAGACTAACAGGTTTAATTTTTTTTCTCTGAACTCTTCAATAGATCTCAGAGATTTCATTGTCATTTATATAGAAAATTTTTGCTGTGTTTGCATGCGTTAATCTTGTATGTAATAAGTCTTGAAGGGTAATGTTATTCTGAAGTTTGGAAACAGAACTGTTGATAACAGTGGGCTGAGTTGGGATTCACGTTTATCTTTGAATAACTCTCCTTCAGTTTATTAAAACCTGAGATTTTAGCCAAAGTTTGGATTTGGGTTACCATCTATTTATACTATTATAACATATTTTTTTTTACTATTTATAACATACTTCCTTATGGGTTTACTAAAAATCTTGTTTAGAAGGTAACTGGAAAAAGGTGAACTTCACAAACTGTTCTACTGACTTGGGCTTGTAATCAGCCTTAATAAGGTAGTTAATAGTTAATTTTTCCAGTTTTAGTGAAGTAACATACAGTCACACTCAGTTTTTTTTTTTCCATCATGACCCTATTGTTCTCAAAGACAGAAAGCATGTTAAACTGAAAATTACCATAGTGTATGTAGCTTAGAAAAGAAAGTTGACTGACTTGAAATATTTTCCATATATATATGGTTATTGTTTTCTTTTCCAAATACTATTCCTGCAGATACTGTTAGAATTGCTGTCTATTTCCAGCCTCTGCTGTCATCACATAATTTGCTGATAGTGTTTGTATTCTCCACTAGGACTCCCATATGCCTGTTTGGGATCTTACAGACCAAAATGTCTGTAACACCTTCAGATTCTGTATGAGGTGTCATTGTATCCACAATGCAGTAGGCTTTCCCAGAAGTCTTCTATGGTGTTGAAATGCACGTTTGTGAGATGATTTGTGGTTCTAGAAGCTGTACACATTACTTCTTCAGTAGATGCAGTATGCTTTTGCTGCTTGATATGTAATTACTCTGGGCAAATGCTCAGTGTTCTACCTGTACAAGGTTTTTTAAGTTCAGTAAAGTAAATATGTCCAGAAATATCCAGACAGACAGTAGGGTAAGATGCACAAGCAAGTAGGAAAATGATGGCTCTTCTACTGGTGATCCTGATAAAGTTGATCCTGACGTGCAGAGTTCAGTTTGTGTCCTTGTTGTCTTGCTGCGTCCATTAACATCAGTGAAGGAAGTGTTTGGATTTACCTTTACCTTTCCAAAGAGGAACTGAACTTTAAAATTATGAAATCAAGAGAGCTTTAGGTCTTTGGACAGAGATGATATGGTCTCTACCACGGCTTCTTTAAATTTTATCTGGCACCTAAGACAACAGCAAAATTAAGCAAAGTGAAGGCTAAGAATTTTGATAGGCTCCTCATTGTACTAATCAAGGCTAATAAAAAGCTGAAACTGTTTCAGTATTGAATTACAGATGCCGGTGTCTGGAATACAGATTTATCGAAGCATTACTTTATATACATCTGCTAAAAAGCAGATGTGTACTAATCTCATCAATGCTATTCAGCCAGGAGTTGGGTTGCAGTAAGACACCAAAAAAGAGTTTTTAGTGCTCTGTCAAATTGCATTATCCTCTTTATTTTAAACTTAGTATTGTGTAAATGCTTTATGTAACCTCTGTTCGCATTACTTCTTCTATGAAAGTATTATTAATGTATTTTTTTGTTGTTGAAAAAATATTATATATTCTTTGTAGTGGGGCAGTTTTTTGCCTAAGGTGTAGATGAAAATTTCATTCTGCGTAGCTTTGTCTAGAAGTTAAGACCTTCTTTTTGTGTTGCATGTTACAGAAATATTTCAATGTTTCCTATCAGCCCGTGAAGTAGCTCGCAGTCGGGATCGAGATAGGATGAACACTGGGACAGGGACTAGGCTTGATGATCCACCTCCTCAGTCTCAGCAGGAGCGAAGAATCAGCACTGATCCAACAGAAGGTCAAGATGTGTATACTGCTGCGTGCAACTCTGTGATCCACAGATGCGCTTTGTTGATCTTAGGAGTAAGCCCTGTTATTGAGGAGCTACAGAAACGAAGGGAGGATGGACAGTTACAGCAGCCTCCCTCTACTGCTCCTGAGGGCATCGGACTCATGACAAGGTGAGGTTTGCTGATGGCTTAGAACAGTCAGCTCTTCTCTGCCTCCTTTATAATTGGTTAAGTAACTTCAGTTTTCCTCTGAGGATTCTTAGATTTTTTTTTTTTTTTTTTAAAAGGAAAATCTTTGCCTAGAGCAGTGTTACGTTTTCGGTGAGAAGAGGGATTTTTCTTGGCTTTCTTTGTCCACATTAACTAAACCTTCATAACAGTTTTATTCTGTGTGGAGCATATTTGCTTTTCATAGTTGGGCTTAGTGATAAATGAGTAGTGAGTAATAAAGTCCAGATCATCAGGTGTACACATAATCAGAGATAATTGGAAAAATGCTTGTATTTTTCCTAAAATTTGTGTGTGAATTTTTTTAATTAACATATTTGTATTTTCTTAAATTTTACCAATGTCCTAGTTGTGTCCAAAAAGCCTTTGTAGGATATGTTTGAAAGCAAACATCTCAAAGCCTGTTATGAAAAAAGTGTTGTTCATGGTTTATTTTTATAAATGTACCTAATGTATTGGCATGTTGGGTAAGACACTGTTATTAGGTATAGGAGAATAACAATATAAAGCCAGACAGTTCATTGAACTGGAGAAGTGTGTAATTTAAATAGTCTAAGTACTACATACTGCATTTTAATTTTGATAACCTGAGGTATTCCTGATAACACAGTTTTAGTCTAAACTTGACCCATTTAAACTTTTATTCTAGAGATCTCTCTGTGTGTTTGTTAAAATAGAATGCAGGAACTGTGTAGCTGGTGCTGCTAGTGAACTCCTGAGTCTGCTTAAGCTTCTGGTGTACAGAAATTCTGCTCTGATACTTTAAATGAAGACACTGATGGGGAGTTCAGAGGGAGATTATATATA